TTGTTTTATAAAACATATGAATAGCTAATTATCACATTTGTCACTCCTGACCCTGTGAAGAAGATATAATTACTACGCTTCCTTTACAGTCTTAGTGACAGAAACTCGTGTGCAGTGATGTTCAGGGCAGTCTTCATAGTCATTTAACATGTAGCAGAGCTTGGGTTTGAACCTTGGTCTTCCAATTCTAGAAGTGAGATTCTCTGACTTCCAATTTGAGAAGTGCAACTAGCAAACGCATGCACAAATTGGAGTCATGGACAGGCATTACATAATTTCAGAGCTACAGTCACTCTTACAGAGGCTCAGGTTCTCGTTTTAAAGGTGGGAAAATGAGGCCGAGAGAGAGGAAAAAACTTGCTGTGGGTCACACCACTGTCTGAGGCTGAGCTATAAAACCTCTCTTGTTTCTCTTCTGACTCCCATGTCAGGCTCTTCACTCCTGAGCTGAACCTGCTGCCTGGGAACGTGTGTGCTGATTCCGCCGTGGCCTTGTCTTATGCTCATTGGTAGTTTGCAGCAACCCTCCACCCACTACTGCCCCCACTATCTTCTCCACAGCAGCTACACATGTGGGCATAATCTGCCTGGCCCCTGCGGACATTTGAGTCTGCAACCCCCACTTTACAGAAAGTTGTTTCTAATATATAAATAGATTTTAGAAGCACCAGAATATAGTTCAATAGCAGTTTTTCTAGTTAGATTTTTATCAATTAAATTTTGCAGATGAAGAAATTGAGACTCAGAGAAGCCCTAGCAACTTGCCCAAGATCTCAGAGCTCATGAGCCCAGAGCAGGGCCTCAGTCCCTTGTATCTGGCCCCTGCTCTTTCCCCTGCCCTGAGCTGCAGCTCACAGGTGACCTCCAAGTTAGCAAATTCTTGCTGCATGACTTTACTTTTCATGGAAGTCCCTCAGGGTAGAGAGGCACCGGGAAAGTTTGTCAAGAGTTAGTTCCCTGAATATATTCTAAGAATCCCAAAACACCAATACAAAAAATACACACACGCCTATGTTCGTAACAGTACTACTTACAATAGCCAAGATCTGGAAACAGCCTAAGTGCCCATCAGTAGATGAGTGGATAAAAAAAAACTGTGGTACATTTACACAATGGAATACTACCCAGCAGTAAAAAAGGAAGAACTGTTACCTTTTGCAACAGTATGGAGGGACCTGGAGAAGATTATGCTAAGTGAAACAAGCCTGTCAGTGAAAGGCAAACAACACATGATGTCACTGATATGTGGAATCTAATGAACACAACAAATCGATGAACAAAATAGAAACAGAAGCATAAATACATGAAACAGACTGACGGGTGCTGGAGGGGAGAAAGGCGAGACTGGATAACAGATGGTGAAGAGATCAACAAAGGACATTTATGCACAACCTGTGGACACAGACAATGACATGGAGTTGACTGAGAGGGAGAGTGTGGGGCTGGTGGAGGTAGGAAAAGGAGAAAAGCAAGAGTAACTGCAATAGCATCAACAACAATAATAATGAAAAGAACTAGTTCCCGAATGACCAGCTTTCTACATAAGCAAACCAACACTGAAACACCATTCCTCCAAATTACATACTACCGTATTTTGCAGTGTGTAATGTGCACTTTTTTGCCCACATTTTTGAGGGAAAAACAAGGATGAGCATTATACATGGATAGTACCTGAAATTCCTCGTATCTGTTCTTGTGTTTTGTAATTATTTGTTACCTAAAATTTCTTGTACCCTATGTTCAAAAATAAATGCCAAATTACTTTATAATGCAAAAACATAAGTATCTAAATATAAATAAATTAAAAAATTTAATTCACACCATCCCTGGCTAATGTGGCTCAGTGGATTGAGACCCACCTGAAAACCAAAAAACTGCTGGTTGGATTCCCAGTCAGGGCACATGCCTGGGTTGGGGGCCAGTTCCCAGCTGTGGGCGCATGAGAGGCAGCCACACATTGTTGTTTTTCTCCCTCTCTCTCCCCCTCCCTTCCCCTCTCTGAAAATAAATAAAATCTTTAAAAGACGACTTTGAATTAAAAAATTAAAATGAAACATTATTTTTCCTGAAAGTTTGGGCCAAAAATGTGGGTGCACATTATATATGGGAGCATATTATCCACAGCAAAATACGGCAAATCTTGATATCTACTAAAGGAATTCAGTTCTCTTTCTTTGCCATCTCATACTTCAAAAAACTCTTGGCTATTCTTGGCCCTTTACTCTTCCACGTGAAGTTTAGGTGTGGTTTGTCAATTTCCTTAAAGAACCCTTTGGTGGGTTTGAGGGAACTAGTCTTGCCTCTACAGATTAACTCAGGGAGAAGTAGCATCTTTATGGCACTGAGTTTTCCTACTGATGAATAGGGTATTGTGTTTTCCATTTATTCAGGTTTTCAAAAATAATTTTTCAATAAACTTATATATATTTCTTCTTTTGTAACTCTCTCACACCAGAAATTCATTTAACAAAAATTCGTTGAGCATGTGGTATGTACAAGGCCAAAATTGGCCCCCCATGTGAATAAATTTCTCTTTTTTCAATCATTAACCCTGTTTATTATTCTCATACCAATTGCACAAGTGGCCTGTGAGCCTTCGTGTTGTATTTCAAACATTTTAACTTTAAATTCTCGGCATTCCTTGCTACTGACGACGTACAGGAGGAGCAGGTTTCCAGGCCCCGCAGGTCCATCCTCTGCAGGATGCTCCCTCCCTGCTGGGTGTGGGTGAGTTGTTCCACCTGCTCTGGGAATGGAAAAGTCTTTTAAGCCATGAAGACTCTCCAAAACTCACTGCGAGTCTTGCGTCACTGCGCCGCCACACACAGAGCTCTGATCCTGATCATCGCGGTACTGGCTTCTGTTAATTAGTCATTTTTCTTTTTTAAACGCAAGCCTCTGATTAGCGGCTAGATCACACAGGCCTTACTTAAAGCAATTAGGAGTAAATACTTTAGCTTTGTTTAACAAGGGGGGATCCAGGAGGTTCCATCATGTGGGAAAAAACAAAGAAACTCCAGAGAAAATAGACGGGTCTTCCTGTACTTACTCTACAGCGGGCACCTAATCTGTAAAACAGCAGTAGGGGTTTTGGAAATAAATGTTTCTTAAAGCGAATGCACAGTGCTTGCCTAAAAACTGGGTCACCTCCCAGTTCCTTTTATCCATTCAGCAAACACGTCCTGAGGGCTGACTGAGCACCAGCACTGTGCTGGGCGTGGGGACACGCAGGTCACAAAAATGGTCATGCCCGAGTGCTCCGGCAGTCCAGTGAGGAACAGAAACAAGTCGACATGCAATTAATAAACAGCTTGATTAATTTCGTGATTAACAAAAAAAGGAGTGTACAGAAGGCACACAAGACATAGGAGATTAGGAGGGAGTTGTGGTGCAAGAAAGGATCCTGAAAGAGGTGCCTGCCAAGGTGACAAAGTAAAGGAAGGTTAGTATGCCTGCAGCATAACGGAGCGAGTGTGGTCAGTGGAGAGACACAGGATGAGAGAAATAGACTCGGGCACATCCTGCAAGGAACAGTAAGCCACGTCCAGGAACTCAGGCTTCATCCCAAAGTCGGGAAGTGGGTTTTTAATTAGGGAAATGCCATGATCAAATTAGCTTTTTTGGAGAGATCATTAAAGTTACACTAGGGAGAACAGACTGAGATCACTGTGGGAAGGAGGGAAGTCCACTTCTGAGGCCACTTCAACAGTCCAGGCAAAAGATGATGGTAATGGCTTCTATTAGGTTAATGTCACTAGAAACAGATGAAAAAAGTTGCAGCTCCTAAAAGACATGTGACTGGCCCTTTCATATGCCTACTGAGTGATAAAGGAGGATTTTGAAGGAAGTTCAATAGGGTCCAAAGCCTGTCATCTCTTTATTGTACCCAGTGTCCCTGCCATGTGGAAAGGACAAAGAGATCTTAGGCAATTAAGAAAGTATGCTGAGTAGAGTAGAAAATGGACTGGAAAGAGAACATACTAGAAATGGAAAGACCTACCTCCAATAGCGCATGACAGAGGAGCTAGAGAAAGGAAGAGAAGGGAATTGATATTTGTTGGTAACTCTAGAAGGTACTCTACAGAAGTGTTTCTCAAACTTTCAAGTGCATAACAATTCCCTCCAGCTTTTGTTACAATGTAGATTCTGACTCACTACCTTTGAGACTGCATTTCTAACAAGCTCCTAAGTGAGGCCAATGCTATGGTCCAGGGACCATCCTTGGAGTAGCAATGGTGGAGCAGTGGTTATCAGCCCAGTGTTTGAGTCGGGCAGACCAGGGACTGAATCCTGGGGCTGGCACTTATTAATGGTATGAGCTTAAGGAATGTATTTGTTTCCAATGGCTGCTGTAACAAAATGCCAAAAACTGGGTGGATTAAAACAAAATGCCGTTGTCTCACAGATCTGGGGGTTAGAAGTCTAAAGTCAAGGCCTCAGCAGGCCATGGTCTCTCTGGTGGCTTTAGGGGAGAATACTTTGTTGCTTCTTCTAACTTCTGGCATATGCTGGCAATCCCTGGCATTCTGTGGTTTGTAGATGCACCATTCCAGTCACAGGGCTGTCTTCTCCCTGTGTGTCTTCCCTCCCTCACATTGTCTTCCTTCCATGCATGTCTATCTCTGTAGCTAAATGTCCCTTTTTTATAAGGACACCAGTGATGTTGGATTAGGATCCACCTCATATTCTGAGGTACTACTGGTTAGCACTTCAATACAACCTTTTTGGAGGAATGTGATTCAACCCATAATGGTCAAAATTTTAACTCTCTGAGCCTTGGTTTCGTTCTCATAGGAATAATGATACCTACTCTATAGAGTTCAATTAAATGGAATAATAAATATAAAGTGCTAGCACATAATAAAGGCTCAAACCATTATAGTTAAAGGCTACTAGGCAGTAGCCACTTAAAACCCATTTCACTTAACCATCCCAACTGCCTGCCCTTGGACGCTGCCAATGTCATTCCTACTGGGTACCAGAAGAGACTGAGACTCAATAAGGATAAGCAGCATGCACCGAGTCACACTGTTATCCTTGCACAGGGGCCATGCTAATCTTCTTTGTATCGTTCCAATTTTAGTCTATGTGCTGCCGAAGTGAGCACCCGAGTCACACTGTTAACTTCTAGAATCCACCCTTCTCCAAAGCCCATGCTATTTACTCTACTTCGAGGGGCCTTTGAGGGGACACTGGCAGAGGAGGTGGAGTTACAAACCCTCTCCTGCAGAGGTAACAGCAGGGATGGATGACTACTTTTATTTGAATGTGTAGGCACCTGTGCCCAATACAAATAGTGGTTTAGAGTGCCCACCATCAGAGATGAGGTGTTCAGAAACCTCAGGGATCGGAGGAGGGAGGGTGAAGGACAGCCAATACATGAAGTCCTGCAGACCCACTGCGTCCACGAGGTTTTGTCACCCTTTCTCGAGTCTCAAGGCGGCCTTGGCATTTTCTGAATAGGTCATAGCAATTCACCATCAAAATTTCAAAGCTAAAAATACTTCCATGCCATACTGGAAAGTAATGTTTTTTCTTTGAAAAACAAAACACCTGAGTGTTTTCTAGACAAGGAAAAGAAAAATGTGTAGGCTGTAATGAGTAATTGAATCTGCTTTTGTCTGTTTGCAATAAACATTTGCAAAACACATTATCCTTTTGACATTTCCGTTAGGATTGCTCATATTCTATTTTGTGAAAAATGTTTTCCATCCTTACTGAGTTTTTGTAATTACCTCCTTGGAAGAAGACCATCTCAGCCCTTCAGAGACATTATCAATTTTAAACAGTTGATTCCTAATTTTTGTTGATGCTGCAGTTATTTTCAGCTATACCTTGATGGGGAAGAATCCATGCCGGCTTGAGCTCTAGAAAGATATGGACAGCCTGATATGGTCGGACAAATGATAGTGACAGAGCAGAGGTGGCAATCCGACCAGATTCCTTCCCTTCAGTCAGTTCTATGGTCGTTTCACTGCCCAGCAGTGCTGGCAGTACGCTGCCTGGGTTCTGGTCCTGGTCTGTCTTCCCGCTGTGTGGCCTTGGCAGATTGCTTAGACATCCCGTGCCTCCAACTCCTCACAGTAAAGCTGGGATAATAATAGTACCTAGTTTATAGAATTACTATGAGGATAAAAGAAGGCAAAATGCACCAAGAGTTTAATTATGTGTATATTACAGTGTGTGCTCAGTAAGTGGTTATGATTGCAGGTGTGATTATTTGGCATGACAATGAGAGCTAGCCTTGAAGTCAGAAGATGCTGTCACTTACTGTGGAATCCCCTTGACTTCATCTGAAAAATGCAACTCTTCACTGTCCACATCATGCAGAGTATTATAAGGCAGAGTGATGAGAGTGTTTTTTCTGTAATTATAATAAGTGCTTTTTCACAGGTGAGTTAAGTGATCAGATCAGCATTTTACAAGGTTACTACAACCATCCTTTAGAGTATAGACCAGGCTAAGGTGATACAAACAAACCAGCCAGGTGAGACCTGACAAGGGCATTGACCTCCCTCACCCTGGTCAATGCACTTGAAGCAAAATGGACTCATCAAGCAAACTGCAGGGGACTCTACAGGACTCAGTCACAGAGGGAGAAATGTGAAGGCCAATTCCTGGGTTTCAGACCCACTGGACAGTTACCACTGAAATATATGCAGGTAACTATTCAGACTCTGGAGCAGAATCAGAGAGGAAGAAAGAAAGAAATGAAAAAAGAAAAAAGATAACTCAAGTTTGTGGAGAACCTAAACTCCCCATGAAGTGCTGGAGAAACACATTGTAGACTGAGGGCACAACGCAATCAGACTTGGCAGAAGAGGACACACACGTTTGAAGGATATTGTGCTTGTCATTTATCCACAGGAACAATACAGTCCTGCACGGTGCTTAGTCACATATGCAAGTGTGGCCTTCCCACCAAAATGCATGCTAATACTGTACAGCACAAAAATGACTTCTCATATACCCCTGGGTATATTTAGCCAAGTTCTACACATATTAGAGTTTTCAGTAAGTACTTGAATTTAGACAGTTGTTGACTAAAAGATAAGCATTAATTCATCATCAATATTTTTAAGAGCCTATACTAGGCTTTCAGGATATAGAAGACAGAACCAGACATGGCCATGCCCCGAAGACACGGGCTTTCCCTACCCACCTGTCCTTTCCCCGTTTCTTCCCTTCCCCTGACACCCCCTTCTCCTCTCTTCTCTTTTCTTCTCCCCCTGCTTTCTGTCTGCCTGCCTGCTTCTCTCATGCACACACTATGCACACCCACAAATGAGCGCACGTGCACATGCTCCCCGTGCTATGCCATAAAGGGGTTTAGCAGTCAGCAGTCCAACACTAAATCTTTCTGCAGACAGAATCTTTCTGCTCAACACGCCTCTCATCCTCCCACACGACCAGGCTAACCATGGCATGTCCTCCTCCTGGCGATGGATGGTAAAATACGAGAAAACAAGCCTGGCTCCATAGCCAATTCAAAGTCTCTGTCTGCATCATATCTTCTTTAACCCTACTGGCCAAAACAAACCATGAGGCAGAGCCCAAAGCCAAGGTGCAGGTACATGCAATCTGCCTCCAGCAGAAGAACTTGCAAAATGACTTGGCAAACAGGATAGGCATGAGGATAGATATAGAACCATACTTAACTTGGGCAAGTTGTTTTTCACCCCCAGGTATCCTCACTCTTTAAAAGATTGGATCAGATCTGTGTGTCCCATAGTGTGAGATTGAGCTCTCCGGTAGCACGCAAAAGGATTTTATGTGGCAGATGAAATTTAGTGAATTCTTGGATGTGGTATTAAGTAATATTAAGCACATAAAGTAATGAAGATTTGCTTTTGAATTTGATTTCAATATTTCCAGCTACATCAAGGAATAACCACCCCAAAACCCTTGCTGATTTCCCATTCCAGCAATGAGTTAGCAGAACACAGTGTCAAGCTACAATTTCCAAAGGTTGCTTTGTTTTCATTTTATTTATTTTGGCTATATTGTATTTATAGCAATGATGCTAGGTTTATTTATATATGTAAAGTTTCTTTAAAACTATGTGTATTAAATAAAATGTGAGCCTATTTAAAGAAACTAAAAAGTTGATTATTGGTGACATGCAGACAGCAAAATATCACAGCTATGGGGCTTGAATAACTCAAGTCTAAGTAATTCTGGATGTGATGATACTTAAGGTTCTGCAATGCTGATCACTGCCAACTTCAGTGCTCCAGCTGTAGTCTTCACTTTTACCCCAAGGCTTTCCCAGAGGAAGATGATCATTGAGTGGATTGGCCTTCTCTTCTGAAGATTTCTTAGACCTTTCATTCTGCCCGCCCTTCTAAATTTGAGGAACCAGCTGTCAATATAACTACCTAGCCAGATATATTTGATTGACATACTCAACCCTACACAACGGGCCAGAGTCAGTCACCCTGGGGCTGTCCCTGCCCTTGGCATTGTGACATGTGGACCCACATTCCAAATGTCATGTTACATCTCCTCATGACATCAAAGCACCCTTGAGAGCAGGAAACCCTAACAGATGGCTGAAATGCCTTCAAAAAGACTCCCCGAGACAGCCCGGGAGAGGCACAGAGCCCTGTCAGTGGTGACGGGTCATAACATATGCTCAGCAAAAAATGCCGAAGGGAAGAGCGGTCCCTGCACCCACCAAGTCCACAGGAGGCTAGTTATCAGCTGCCTTACGCAGACTGCCATTTGCTTTTGCAAGTGTATTAAATCCTCTATTGTTATCCTTTGTTCCTTGGACTTTGAATAGTCCTCAGAGGTAGTGATGGAAAAGTTTTTATTGAATACATATATTGAATACTTCATTAAAAAGCAAATAAGTAAATAAAGATTGTCTTCCTTTCTGTTTTTCACCGTAGTACACTGCTACTCCGTCTAGTCCCAGATATGCCTACTCTGGACTTTGTGGCTCCTTCAAAAGCCCATGGTTGGTCTTAAAGGGGACTGTAGACCTTCCAAAATTACCTGTAAAGTGTGTGTGTGTGTGTGTGTGTGTGTGTGTGTGTGTGGATGTATATGGATCTCCCTGCAGAAAGGATCTGAAATTTTAGTTTTGATTCTCAGAATCATCCATGTCTCATTAGAAGATTCAGCTATAACAGTGCTCCTTAGATTTTATGGGGCAGAAAAATGTCAAAACTAAACTAACTAAACTAAACTGGGAGGCAATGCAAGGTAAAAATGTTTCCCTCTAATAGTAACATTAAGAAAAACATCTGTGCTCTGGCTGGTGTGGCTGAGTGGATTGAGTGCCAGCCTGCAAACCGAAGGGTCGCCAGTTTGATTCCCAGTCAGGGCACATGCCTGGGTTGCAGGCCAGGTCCCCAGCAGAGGGTGCACAAGAGGCAACCACACATTGATGCTTATCTCCCTCCCTTTCTCCTTCCCTTCCCCTATCTCTAAAACAAAATAAAATCTTTAAAAAATTTTGCCACTTGCCAACAGCATAATTTCAAAAATGTTACTTCAGTGTAGTAGGACATGAAAAAAAAATAAGGGTGTCCATTAACCCAGATTAAAAACATAAGTTTAGCTTTGTTAAAAAATAATTACATTGTCGATTTCCATTTTCATTCCACTAGTGGCCAGTGCCAATCTGGGGACAAGGATTTGAGAAGCATTGTTGTCAGGGTGGGAAATTCCTGCCCAGCCTGCAAGTCTTTAGGAAACTGTGCCTTTCTCTGGGTTGGCAGGAGCTGAGTCCACAGCTTCCTGTCTGTTTCTTGACTACCCTAAGGAAGTCCTTTATCTCTGATCCCACTCTGCTGTGACACCAGGCACTATACTCCAAGGCAAGGACAGTAGATTCAGTGCAGCAGTTCATTCTGAGAGCTATTGACTATGTCCCTCACATGGGCTGGGCCCTGAGCTGGGCATCAGACAAGAGAAGTGAAATGCACTATTTCTTCCTATCAGGGGCTCACATTGTAGTGAAAGAGACAACAGAAATGGTCTAAGTGGGCACCATCACCCACCCCACTTCCTTCTCCTCCCATTGCCAAATGAGCAAAGGAAATGAGGAATGATGATACAGAGGCTGTATTACAATAATCCATACTTCTATTCAATGTG